ACTACTATAACAAGGTGAGTTTTACAGAAACAACAAAACAATCCGTGCAATGGTTTGCAATCAGATCAATAGGTAAAACCTCTTATGTATCTTCCTTATTCCGACAATACAAATGTCTGACCCAACAACCACTTGGTCAGGCGAGGCAGTCCTGTCAGTACCTTGACTTCAATTTTCCTTAAGTCGAGTTTGACATTCGAATAAAAATAAGCAAATTGCAATTGTAGTTACTTCTATGTTGCAGAATAAGTACAGGAAAATACGTAGGTCAGTGCGGTTGTAAACGTCTTGTGGATAATATAAAACATTGTTCAAGATGACCAAGGAGTGCTGCATTCTACATTGTAGTAGCCACCACTTGGTTGTAGGATCACGCAGTAAAAACAGACGAAAATATAATTTTTGATATAAATGAACCTAAAAATTTTGTGTACAGATTTATATTAACGGTAAAACGGGGTGAATAGAATTCGAGGGGTGAATAGATACAGGAACGGGGTGAATAAATGTTAGAATATTTTCCCAACATTTATTTACCCCTCTTCTATATCTATTCACCCTGTTTTACAGTATGTACTTTTGGATGTAGGTACTAAATTGATTCTGTTTTTCAGATGGCAACCAATTGTCACTGTCAGGCAATCTCTATTTTCTTACCTGCATATCAAAGACCTTGGCTGACTGTACTACTTAATCACTAAAGTTATAGTTGAATATATCATATAGTTGAACTTAAAGTAATGTAATCATTTTTTAATAATATAAATATTCTCATCCGATTTGTGAAAGCCATTAATATAATAATGTTTACTTTAGCGATAGTAAGAACTTGGCATTGACAGTTCTGAAGGTTACAACGATTCATAATCGTTATCGTAATAATTAGGTACGCGGGCAGATTTACTTCATTGTTTCCTACATATTAACCTACTGAAAGTTACACCATAACACATATAACGATACTTTACTCACCGTAAATGTAATAATTACGAAAGTTTCCGCGAGTAATCTGTAATTACTAGTCAATTAATTGACAGCCGACGGTCAATGGGTTTGTGACTACATCCTAATAGACCCTCACTTTAATAAACTCGCGGAGAAATACGAATAATGCAATCAATTAGGCAATTTCTCTTCAGATTAGAGCCTAAGGTAACCCTCATCTTAGGGTCAAAAATTTAGTTACATCTGCTATTTGTTTCACGAAAAGATATTGTTTAGCAACATAAGTTAGCTTGTTAACATAAACTGAAAAATATAATTACGATTCTATTATTACATATATTACAACTTTCATAAGACATACGTATATTATATTCACGTAACGGTAAATTGGGGTGAATAGGGATCGAGATGTGAATAGGGACAGAAGAGGGGTGAATTGATACTATGAAAAATTTCCCAACATGTATTTACCCCTCTTCTGTGTCTATTTACCTCTCGATCCATTTTACGGTAATTATTTGACGAGGAACTCGACTAGTTTCAAGCCATGCTAGAGGCTCATATTCATAAGCAGCATTCCGCAAGTCAAATAAATACATGAGTAAGCCAAAAAACATAATAATACGAGTGTATTATTATTATTATTATACTTATGTTTAGGATTCAAACCTCACCCATTTCTGGGGAACTACACCAAAATTATTATTAGTGATAACATAACAATACCTACTTTCATTGGTCTGAATATCTAACATAGTAGTTACACTCTACCTGAGCACGGAACTCTATAACCTTGATGGGTAAATATATAAATCCTTCCTTTCCATATAAAATCCAACTCACTGATTGATTAATATTAGTCTCTAATGGCAATTCCGAGAAAAGCTTAATTCCTATTGATCCGATAATGGTAATCTGTTAATTTCTTGATAACTAATATTGGTCCCGAGTTGTGATATTTTACATAGGCATTATTAGGCCAGTGCTCAAAATAAACATAATCTAAAGTCGACAAGAAGTGTTTCAGTCAATTAGAGAAGCGATCTCAGTGTCGACTCGTGGTCGCTGGTCAGTGCGCACTGACGCAGAACATCCTCAGTAGCTACTGAGCCGTGAAGATAAAAGATCAGTTGCTCGCTGACCCGCCACGGAAGAAGATACTTTTCCTCATGATAACAATCGAAATTGGGAAAGAAAAAAACTAGGTGATAGAAAAAACACAGTTGAACTAAGAACCATAGAATAACCTGTGTCAGTCTGTCATTTCGGACTAAACCACAGAACGGTTGCACCGTTTCTAATGAGATTGCATAAAAACAAATAATTGTAACAAAAAAACAGCTTTTATCCAACGTATAACAATTTGTAGTGTTGTAATAAATACAATGTATTTATAATACCACTGCAATGTTACTGTTACGACTACTACGAGGCTACGGGACATACATAGTATTTTCTTTGAAACAAATAAAAAGAAAATACTATAATAATAAGCCAGGAAGTTTCGCAAGGAGAGACCACAGAACAAGTACCCCATGAAGTTCACTTGAATTAGGCCCGTGAACGTCATATTATTACCGAAATTATTATAATTACGAGAAAAAGGTAACACCTTTAAATAATAATGATTACCAAACAAAATGGCGACCGGAGTGGGTATCACTTATTCACCAATGAGCTGAAGTTTCGTCGTGTATGTGATGAGGTTACCGGAGGCCCAATTATACACCCCCCCCTTTCCCAATCTCTCTAATCCCTGAATCCCAACAATCTTCAAATTCCTAATCCCCAAAAGGCCAGTAACGCACGCCAGGTGTCTATGAGCGACGCGGATTGCTTACCATCAGGTGATCCGTCTGCTCGTTTACTGGCTTATTGCTAGTGTAATGCTGGTAGTTTACAATCCTGTACCTATCGAGTCTACTGTGTCATCAGTACTGTACTTATTAGATAGATGCGGTTCACATAAAGTCTGATGTTTAAGGTTTTTATAGGAGAAACATTGTTACAAATCAATGCGTAGTCTTAAGGAAAACTACGGATACAAACCAGCACATCAAAATAACCGTATGTGACACAATCATATTGTTTTTGACTTTATTACAAAACGATAAAGTCGATTTACTTTAATAATTCATCGATTCAGATTCAAAGTCAAAATCTTTTATTTTATTTAGACCAGAAAGCCACTTTTGAAGGTCAATAAAAAATTAAAACTGAACCTATTTGATCATTCCAAGGTGTAGATTCCTATGGAGAAGAACGAGCAAGAAACTCCATAGGTTAAGTTCGGACTGGTTTCAGGTGCTCGGTGTCCGTAGTTACCCTACGCTATGGACCCAGAGCAAAATTATACGATAGCAACTAGTATACATACTTCCAACCTTTCCTCATTGTACACTACAATAAGATTCCAATTCCAATAACCAATTATCATTCATCAGTAGTGAATCTTAAGAAGATGACACAGTAAGCGACCTTGTGATTATCAAGTACTGTCTTACACTTCTTCCGCACTACCTGATTTCCTTCCTACTCATTTGAATTATGTAAATATTTATTAAGTATGGCATAATTAGCAAACTAGTTAAAATCAAGTTTAGGTAATGTTTTCTATATTGATAGGCGGTTGTAATTTTGTACCTATGATTGTGTCTTAACGAGCTAACAGCTAATGGCACTAGAGAGAACAAGTTACAAATGTGTTGCCAGCATTTTTCGAAACCCTTCAAATCGACAATATTTAATGGATTTTAATGAAACATTTTCGTATAATATAACCCTAATAAAGATGAATATAGGTGTAAACGCAATCTCTACTAGACTTCGTGGTGCCATTTATACGTCATTTAACTTTACACTTATCGGCAATGACATTTACGATTTAAGACAATATTAAACAGCAAGGACTTTGCAGCTAATAAGTTCCGCCATTGACAACGTTTAAGTTTAGAAAATGATTAATGAATAACTATAATTCATTGATCACTACTTACAAATCCATTGTGGTCTGATTGTTAATTTATTCGTCAACAAAGATATTCTGTTGTATTTAACAGTCTGCACACAAACCTACTCCAATTTGTCTCTTTAATCAATTTGACCATAGAATTTTATACTTTAGAACATTTCATTATGTTATATAGCTTTAAATGCAGGTGTTGCTCCATAGCTGGTCTATTTAGAGCTGATTCTGATCGTCAGGATCAGGTGGTTTTAGCAATATATTATATTTCTTTCTAAAAGCTATGTGGCTTTGAACGGAGTATGGCATTGCTGCTGATACCAGAAACTAGACAATGGATATCGCGCTGTATTTTCCAAAACATTGCTTATGTAAAACATCAATCATTTCGATTTGCGTACACGCAATTAAGATCTCTATCTAGTCTCAAATCCCTGTAAAGGAAGTAATTCAATCGATGCAAGTAATATTATCGGAATCAATAAGTCGTAGGTGTGGTACTGAGTAAGGCTCCGGGCTCGGTATACTATAATTGAATCTTTGATTTTGTATCACCAAGGCATTTCTTGTTTTGATTTCATCCCAGAAAGAGTTTAAGAGAATAAGAAACGACGTGACACTTTATTGTGTTATCAATTTATCATCGTTTGGTAATAAAATCATTCGCGCAAATATTTGACCCTCATCAATATCACGTTATTAAAATCAGTAAATCGTAATTATATCTTCAATTATGATACACGAATAGTACCTATTATCATAATGATTATTGCGAAAGATTTCATACTTAAGTGACCGTTTGTATTGAAAGCAAATAATGTACATAATGCGGAGCTAATTTAGTTACATTTTATTGCATTAAGTAAACAATAACTTGTGTACTACGAAGGCCAACATTTGGTCATACCTTATTAAGTAATTCTATATTCAAGACAGTTAATAAATTTTTATCAATAATATTATTTTCCACAGGTCAATTATCGCACTTGAGAAAATAACGGAATATAGTCAAGCTCGTTTTCACTGTTTTACCTAAATATTAGTAAGTAACTGCCATTACAATACAACCGAATGAATGAAGGCCACCTACCTATAAGAAACTTCTCCTGCAGCGAAGATATACTGGCTGTTGTAGACAGCACTCATCAGGATGACGACGAGGATGAAGCAGTAATTCCTGATCTGGTACCGGCCGAACTGGCCAAGCTCCAGCAGTATCGCGTCCAGGTCCACGGTCCCGGCCATCGTATCGGTTGGTCAGTGTCACGAGAAGACGACACCCGTCTGTCAACGGCAGCGAGTGTGTGAGACTGGCGAGGCGGCAGTATCGCGCGGCGGCCACTGCCTCGGCCAGCAGGTAGCCGTGTCGCTGCACTCACTCGCCACTATCACCACCGCTTATCAATACATCGAGCTAAATAATCTCCTGCTGAGACGTCACCACCAAACGTAACACTAGATTACATCCTTCGCTTGTTATACACGTACTTAACATTTGAGTTGTCGGCAATACAACACACGACGATACGATATCTCTGACGGTACACGTGCGCGTGAAAGGTCAAGATACAATTCTAAATACATTCATCTCAATAATTAAATACAAATCACGATCACGATCACGCCTTTTATCCCCGAAGGGGCAAGCAGAGGTGCACATTATGCTACTGTACAATGTAACACCCACTTTTCACTATTTATGTTATGAGTCCCATGTAATAGGGGGTGAGCCTATTGCCATATATATAGGGCACAATTCCAGACTCCGTACTACTACTGAGAATTTTTTTAAAACCCAGTAATACTTATGACCCGAGAATCGAACCCGAGACCCCTTGCCTGGCAGTCGCACTTGCAACCACTCGGTTAACAAGGTTGTCTTAAACTATCAAACACTAAGCGGTCACCGGTGACCGCAACCTATTGTTCTATAATTGTGTCTACAAAAACGGTACTCGACGAGTTAATTAAATACATTTCGGTATAAACTTATAATAAAGTACCTCAAAGTGATACAATACGATACGACTGCTAGTGTTGTTATTGTGACAAAGACATTGGTCACTAAACGGCCTTGCTTATGTAACCGGCAGAATGGACAAAATAAAACCGCGGAATCATTAAAACATCCGCGTGTAGGTGATAAAAGTGCACTTTGTCATAAATAACTGACTGATCACTGAAAACATGAAAGGTACCGTAATGACTATGTCACAGTCGTCACACAGGGTAGACCAATGCCAGGAGCGTAGCTAGCGCCGTATCTATCAATTATATGCGGCCCCCGGACTACGGGAGGCCCCAATGTGTGTAAGAAAAAATATAGAAACTTCTCAATTTATATTTCAGTGATCACAAAATGCATGCGTTCAAAGGTTGACAGAAACCATCTAATAAGGAAATTTATTCCATGGCCAGAAACTTTGGAAAAACTAAAGTAATCATTGATTGAAGCTTGTTTTAATTTGAGCAGAGGGAGTTACTTGAAAATGTTTCCGGTTTTAACACAAATTATAATTATTAGCATAGCCCCAAAGAAATTTATAAACCCCACCAAGATGCTACGCCACTGACCAATGCATTTTGCAACTTTGTTAATTTACAAATTTTTCATAACATATAAGTGTTTGAATTTGACGAACACACTTTACTTACTGATAAAACTGCATCACAAAACTATTATCCAGTTACTTTAGGCAGGTACGTACGTACAGAATTGTACCTACTGAAGATGAAGGAAAATTATTTTTCCGCTTCCGTGAATATAGGTACCAATCATGAACATACCAATTACACTAAATACCTACCTACCTACTGGTTAACCACTGAGGATTGCGATGAAGTGGTAAATTTAAAATTATTACTCACAATAACCACATAACCGTATGAGTAAAGTCGGTATCCGTGGACTGCTTGTCTTTAAAAGCAAAAAAGTACTTAGGTACTAGACTTCACTCTTTTATTTCTTGCCAACATTTGACGCGGAGAACACGAGTTCTCCACTCCACACACTTTCAGTTCGCGCTTTCAAAGTTCGATTTTTGCAATAGTTCACCAGCTATTTTTTATTTTAAACATTTTATTTATTTGGAAAACTATTGTATTACCAAGACACAACCATTTTACTCCGGGACGAAAACGAAATACATCTCACGGTGTACAAAATAGCACCTACAATAAAGTTTCACAAATTGTGCAACCACTTACAATAATGCCCATAGTATATAGGTATCTACATTAATATTAACACGTGTTATGTATGAATAATCTCAGTAAAAGATAACCTGGTGGAGATAATTCATATAATTTTAATTAAATAAATAATATAATTATTCGTATGTCTATAATATTCGTATACACATAAGAAGAAGTAGGAGATAAAAAAATCTCTAAATAGAAGTGGCAGTAGGAGTCCAGGTCAGGTAAGGCGAGCTACTGTTCTTTGCTTAAAGAACGCTCAAGATCCCACTTACTTATAGCACTTACCTGAATTTCTGAAAAGTATATACCTGGGTAGTAACACCACCGCCATCAAATACCACTAAAGACTTGCGAATAGTGAAAGTAAGTCTGAAGCCAGCAGGGCAAGCTCAGTGTTACGTGATTAAATTGGTCGTTTTGGTGGAGCGGCTGGCGAGGGTCATCTGCTCCGCCTGCTCGATGGTGTCGGGCAGCTTCATGTGCAGCGTCTCCGGAGTTAGCAGCATTAACAGCCCCGACGTACCAGCCAGCGAGCCGAACAGAATGTACGGGAGGGACTTCATGTACGCCATCTGTTGTATTCACATCTGCATAATATGTTACAGGCCTCATCTGATTGGGCATTTAATTTTATTATCAATAACTGTATTTTAACCCCTACAGGACCTCCAAATGCAAATAGCAAAAAAATGGAATGGATGAAAATTATTTCATGCTTTAATCTAACGTAAGTACAGAGTAGAAGAAATGGCACATGACCCATTCAAACATTCCAGTGAGGTCTGTGTTATATCACTTGAAGAAACGCGACGCCAATCGGAAGCTGATCTAGTTAAGTAATTAAGTGTGTGAAGTTAGATAATAGACCGACCAACCAACAGAGGTGTCTGCGGCGCGCACATGGAGCCGATGCGGCCCGTCATGGAACAGATGCCCAACATGCGGTGGCGCGCGCTCGTCGGGAACAACTCCACCGTATAGATGTAAATACCGGAGAAGATTAAGCTGATCGTCATCTTGCCCACTAAAGTCAGGAGTATCGTTAGATTCGCTGAAATAACATACTTTAGTCACATTTAGGTATTCTCATACAATGAGCGTATTGAATGAAATTGACAGCAATGTTTTACTTACGATTTTTCACAATTGGTAGTACCAGCAACGACAAACCACAGATGAAAAAGCTTGTCATTATAGAACTTTTTCTTCCAAATCGGTCAAGTGTCATAAAGCAAAGAAACGAGCCAGGGATCTCGACAAATGCTGTCATCATATAGTTGACGTACTTGTTGCCCACCAGCGAGACCGAGTTGATGGATAGGCCGTAGTAGATCATGGTCACCGAGATCCACCAAAATGACACCACAATGATGCGGAACATCATCGTCCTGGACTTTAGCACTTTCAGCATCAGCCGCGTCTCTTTGGGCGGTGGTGGCGGTACCGTGCTAAGCGGAAACGGGTTCCAAGGTCGACTAAATTTGCTTGGTTCACCGGTCAGAATTGCCTTTGTTTCTGGTAAAAGATGTGCGTTGTTCCACTTTGCTACTTTAAGAAGGATTCTTGCAGCTTCATCATCGTGTCCCTTGACCATCAACCACCGAAAGCTTTCTTCCACAAAGAAGATATAGAAAATGAATAGGAAAGAGGGAGTAAAAATGACGATTGTAAAGGTCCTCCAGTAAGGAATTACCCAGGCAATGATAGCGGTCAGGATCTGCCCCACCGCGTACGTGCTCTGGATTATATTTCCACCAAGTACTCGCATCTTTAGACCCACTATCTCAAGAGCTGAAATTATGAACATCACATCTGTACTAGAGAAAGAAAGATAAAGATAATATTAAGTAAATAATTTAATTAAAACAGAGTACCTATTATAAACGCTGTGCTGTATGTGCCATTGCCAACTAGTGCTTCGACGAACTCCAAAAACAAGTACACTACGTAATTTCTGCAGAAGGCTCGCAATAGACCGAAGACGGCTGGGGCCACACAGGTGCCGATTAGCGCGAAACGCCGGCCGTAACTGATACAAATTTAATTCGTCACTTCTCCATCATTCTTTAATCTATACTTAATAATATACAGGTGTCCCACGATCAAATGGTGATCGGCAAGGTTCCAACATAAAATTAAAAAAAAAAGAAGTCATTTACAATGACTTATGTGTTATCCACAAAAAGTATACGCTGTGCCGGTCTCTTGACTTTTGTTGCTAAAATTATTAAAATTTATTTGTGCTTCAGTATTATGGAATTGGACTGCCTCGTTGCCCGAGTGGTCGCAAGTGCGCCTGCCGGGCAAGGGGTCTCGGGTTCGATTCCCGGGTCGGGCAAAGTATTACTGGGTTTGTTAAAAAAATCTCAGTAGTAAGTAGCACGGAGACTAGAATTGTGCCCGGTATATGGCAATAGGCTCACCGCCTATCATAAAGAAATATTAAAGATAAGTACTATTCAGGCAAAATAAGTACTATTCAGGATAAGGTAATCAAAAATACAGACGAAAAAAACTTGTAACAGTAAGAGTCAAAAACTGGTACATGGTGTACTTAGTCGTGGATAACACAACGAAGTAATGATTGTTATTTAAAAACTGAATGACTTGATTTTTTTGATAACTATTGGGACCAGTTGGGACCTGGCCGTTGATAGTCCTTGCTTGAAACTTGCCTTGTTATATGATTGTCGACTTTAGGGACATTCTGTCCATATAAGTAAGTAAAGCTGAAGAGTTTGTTGAGTCGAGTTTGTTTGTTTGAACGCGCGTATCTCCGGAATTAGTGGTCAAAATTGAATAACTATTTTTGTGTTGAGTATTGGATAGTCCATTTATAGAGGTACGATTAATAGAAGCCGAGTAGAGGTGAAACCACATAGGCGTGACTAATTATAGTAGGTGCATAGGTACCTACATAAAAAATCGTCATTTTCTCTACGTATATATGTAATTTTTTTACTTTTTATACCATCATTTATTAAATCACGAGATAATCGCTGACCAGACGAGAGACTTTTGTCTGTTGAGAACAAAAATGTATGATTATTCACTTACGTATCAGAGACCGCAGCAGTGAGTGGTATGGCCAAGAACACGCCGAAGTTGTGGATCGTGCCCACTAAAGTGCGCTTCCACTCCTGACACGCCAAGTCAAACTGGAATAATTTAGCAATTGTTTGGTATGTTACTTCCTTCTGTCTAATGGCCATCACCGACCACCCCTAATCCATCTCAACTAAACGTTACTTAGCATAACGAAGGATCTAAACTAACCCTTAACTTGTACCTACTGTTAGGTGATACTTATAGATTGGTGAAGACTAATAATGACCAGGATGCAGATCGCTTCCAACCTGCCTATCTGGAACTCATTGAGGGTCTTATGTCCAACAGAGGACGCCTTGTAGCTGACATGATGATGATGATGATAAAGAAACTGTAGTTTAACCTCAGCAACTATAGTAGTTCCTCCTTCGTAGACCCAGGAGTAGCAGCGCCGGGTTGTGTTGGAGAAGCTCTCAGGCGCGCAGCTCTTGCCGATGGGAATTTTCCGGTAGCAGTTGTAACCTTTTGATGGCAACGCGAATTTCCTCCATGGCTCCGTTCGACTGTACACTGGCGGGGATTGTTCGCACTCGGGAACTTTACATCTAAAGAACAGTACGTACGAAGCAAGCTTCCTATATTTTCTTCGCTGAAGACCGCACAGTCTGAGAAACTGCGCGGGGATAGAGTATAAAATTATATCTATTTTTATAATACTTTTCCTATTGAAAACAAACGGAGTCCACTCACGGTCGCGAACGAAACTGACCTGTAATTGTCGCCAGCAGCATTAAATACATATTGGCAGTTGTAGATACTGGTGAATATGATAGCCAAGCCGAGGTATGCGAACACCCACCGCTGGTAGCGGCCGAACTGGCCCAACTGCACTATCAAAGCGTCGATGTCAATCTCCTTACTCAACGCGCTCCTGGTCTGCGTGCTCTGGGTGTTACTGGGCATCACTGTCTACTGACTCACTCTGCTACGTCACAAGCCAACTGAACATTATAGTGGGTTATTACAGGGTCGCCAGTGCTGTTGATCATACAGAAAATGATATAATGTACTTGCTGATCAAAGATAATTTTGATAACAATTTGAAGTTTGTAGTTCTGTCAACATTGACCGCTGAAATCTGACGCACGAACACAATACATAGAGCAGACTTATAGCTTTATTTGATACAAATAAGGTTAGCACAAAACTGTGGCCGATAATGAACAAGAACAATAATTTTCATAATGTTTTATCGATTGCCTCGTTGGCCGAGTGGTCGCCAGTGCGACTGCCAGGCAAGGGGTCTCGGTATGTCTCGGTATATGGCAATAGGCTCACCCCAAATAGTGAAAAGTGGGTGTTACATTGTACAGTGGCATAATGTGCACCTCTGCCTACCCCATCGGGAATAAAAGGCGTGATGTTATGTTATGTGTTTTAAATCGTCTGTCGTGAATTACTTTATGACAATGATCATGGTGCTTACTCTTGAATCCAATTCCGATCGATCGACATTGAAATTGTGAAATTTCGTACTCTTGAGTTGTAACACTAGCGCCGTTTGCATCCGTATTGCGTGGATATTTCATGAACTAAATGGTATTAAGTTTGGTTTTATATTCCGTACTCTAAATGCTACTTTAGCAGTTACGATAGGGGTGGTATAGTTTTGACATTGGATAATTATTGAGATTTTGTTGGATTGAAATTCCATTGACATTGAGATTGGTTTCAAGAGTAAGCACCCTGTTCCTGCCATTGATGCGAATGCATCGACATTTGAAAGACGTCGATGGATGCAGTGATGTGGTAGGTATGTGCCTGTGGTCACTGAAAATTGCAACGTCCTTGTTATATTCATGTACAGATTGACATTGATATAATCAGCTTAACTTATCTCTATCTTCAAATAATCATGTCAGATACGATTTAACACTCTACGTCTATAATACAACAGATAGGTATAAGATAAATAGGTGTCAGAAATTACACGAAGATTTTTTTAAGTGACAAGTAAATGATAACGTCCACCCCACTGGTTATTTTTTATACACGTGCTATCTACACACTTCGACTACCTCAGAGTTCCAATAGAGAACGTATCCAATTTGAACCGACAACCGCTTGCTCAACATTACATTTACCTAGATAATATAACCTACGCTTTTTATTATATTTAGTTTTCAGTTCAAATTAATACGAATTTTAAATGGTATAGTTGGTCAGTATTCTTACTAGACCTATCTAAGAGCTCTTACTACGAGTGGCATGTTGCCAACGGCAGGGACAACTGCTGCCGTCACGACGATATAACAGCTCTAATAGCGAATATCTGTCTATTGAAGGGGTAGGCCACTGTCAAACACCGCGAGGACACCGGTAACCGCAACCTATTGTTCTTTAATTGTGTCTATAATGACAGTACTCAAAGGGCAGAAGTAACACCCACTTTTCACTATTTATGTTATGAGTCCCATGTAATACGGGGTGAGCCTATTGCCATATACCGGGCACATTTCCAAATTCCGTGCTACTACTGAGATTTTTTTTTTAAAACCCAGTAATACTTTGCCCGACCAAGGAATCGAACCCGAGACCCCTTGCCCAGCAGTCGCACTTGCGATCACTCGGTCATCGAGGCAGGCAGGATGTTATGTATTAATAAATATTTCTGTGCAAATCATACACATATCGACAGAGCTACGTAATTATAAAGACGCGCGTGTATCATTTCTTCAAATGGACACTGCACGTGGCTTAAATTAAAATAAAACACATAATTATGTAACATAATAATTATTATTTTTTAATATCCTTAAACGTTTTATATACAGTCAACATCGAATGCCAAGAACAACATCTACAACGTAGTAAAGTACACAAGAGCACAACAGGTTTATAAACGTATTTATATATAGTAATATGTATAGATAAAATTATATACATCTACAGTAATATCTTCACAATCGGTATACCTGCAAGACTATGCGTTACACCGGGCGCCGCCCTGCTCGCGAGACTTCAATTCGTTTATTAGTGCTGCTATATTATTACTGTATTATGTTCACGTGAGGTCCTGCTACAACACTGCTAGGTGCACTATGTCGGCTACATGTATATATACCACGAGCCACGAGAGCAGAGCGTCGGCCTTGAATAATTAACAAGTGATCGATACATTCACGATAGAAACATCTGAAATTCAATACAATAATATAATTTGACCGACAATAAATATTACATTGGTCTTTAGATTACAGGATTATTATACAATATTCATATATGATTACAGCTACGTCCAGTGCGTGCGACGGAGAGATAGTGGTATCTCTGTCGCACGTCGCCTGAACAATAAAAGCTATCGAACACTTAACATTTCAAAATGTTTTGTCTCTTTCCTTTCTATAACGATTGTTGAACACTAGGAAGGGATAGAATACGACACTGACACACAGCTATCACTTTACAGAGATGGCGCGATTTGGAAGCGTTAGCGAACGAGCTGGGAGCTCGGGCCCCTTATATTTAAAAGTTTAAATATTTACGAACGAGCAAAAGATATGAAAATCGTTTATAATTAATAATTATGTTTGTATGTAACAGGTGCCGAGTAACTGTGTTGTGGAGATACAAGTAATTACCTTACTATAACAGAGTTCCAACAAATTGTATTAAATAACATTGTAAGTGGTACTATCGGCTACACAAGTGTTAAGGAAACGGTTTAAAATATAATTAATGCACCAACATGTGTTTTTATATAATAAATGTGATTGTCCAGAAATAATTTAAAGTGGAGTTGTAGTAGATTGATAAAATTGTATAACACTTGTGGAGTTGACTGTACGGAGTGAACACAACCAAAGTGATACGAGCACCTTCATGTATTGTTACATATATATCGGAAAAATAGTATATAAGGCAACATAGAGAAGATAAACTCAGGGTAAATACACTGTAGTAACAGGCAAGTTTATAAGAACATATTAAAAGGGGGAGGTAATAATATTACCTGTATTTATGTAAAGATACCAGAACAAGACATCCAAAATTAAATGTCTTCGTTTGTTTTCAACCTTACTACAAACTAATAAGGCTGAAACACAATTAAAACTGATCAGGGTACCTTGATGTGCTGGCACCTGGACTATGACTATAATAATACCAAGATAGAAAAATAAATACTGTAATAACTAGAGAAACGAGAACCTACGTTCATATTGAAGTGACACCACATTTGTTCAGTAACATATTTTTTATACGGATACTATAAAAATATATGATTAAACGTTAGAGTAGTAATAAGACAAACATTGGCACATCCAATGCTCTACCTCGAGTACACCGTACAATTACAAATATATCTTTAACTATTTTATACACTATTAATACGACGCAACACAAATTATTGCCTGTTTGAATCACAAGTACAAGACGACCACAGATAAAATAAGTAAGAAATAAATCTTTAATGCTGATAGAGTATACAAATCTCTATGGTTTGATGCTACCTATTGCAGAATTTCAATTTTCTACTTCCATTCTAGATATGAAAAATTATACTATAACTTGAGTAATTGTTTTTATGACAATCAGCTATCGAATTCAAATAAATGAATTTCAGAAATCTACTTAAAGAATAGTGAAAAGTCGTCTTAACACTTAAATATTTAAAATTAAAGTCGTGTGGTCTATGAACTATTAATATCATTATAACTATTATTAATCGGTGCGAAAAGTTTTTCTCGACCACGAATCATCGAATATAACTGCAAAATATACTAATATTTCTAGCAAGAAGCTCCAATGTAGCTATTTAACCATTTTTCTCAAATTGTTAGCTAAAATAACACTCACAATAATCATTCGTCATCTACTCCAGGTACATAGTCAGTTAATAAGTCGATAATACACACAGACTTATTAAACACTCACAATTTATCGAGATAGTCTATATTGTCTTTGTAAATTCAATTTAGTATACTACAATGCTCTAGCAGATCGGATACGTGAGTGCGCACGAGTTGTAGTGATGTACGACATTGTACCACACCGCGGACTGGACGTACACTACACAGTGGTACACACAGGTACAAATCAAACTGTACTAAACCAGTGTATTATGGTCTCCCATTGTGTCGTCATTCCGCGTACTCGACGGTCAATGTATACTGGTTTTACATCGTCGTGTCGTGTGTACGAGCACGTGCACGTATGCGGCCCCGGTCTACTCGAGCCTTAATAAGAACCCAATAAAGTATGATTCGCACCGATCACTAAGTAACTAACTACACCCATCCCTTGGAAGATCACCGCGCCCTCTACCGTCAGACCGTCACCATTCTCTCACCACAAACACCAGACAATTACATTTATGTCTTACCCGCGCCACTTAACTAAACTATAGAACCTTTTAGCACAGTGTAAATGAGCCATACCTATAAAAATCCGATTAAAATTAAGAAGTGCTAAATGATTTGTAATCTATATCTTTGCATTATAAGTTCTGCAATGTTTTATGTCTTTATCTAATATCGATAGTTATGCATCATTTACACTGCAGAGTCGCAACAAAGCAACAATACGCGCAACACGTATCGTAGACTAGCAACAATGAAATAAATCTAACTGCGAACTAACGTAACATATATTATAACGTATCGTATTCGTACTGATATGCGCAACCCCAGCTTATATAGTATATACTCAAATATGGCGATGAACGACCTAGCTAATGAGGCAATGGAAGGTGACGCGAACATCTGCGGACACCAGCAACTTGTAGCGCAACATACACGTCACGCGTCGTCTAGCGATCACGCAGCTATCAACGAGGATATTAAAATTACATAAATATTTCCATAATTGGTCTTAATTTACAATAAATAATTGAATTTACTAAATCACAATTACATGACAGCGACACAATATAACGTTACCAAATATTAACAATAGTTTAGCTACAATAAATTACACGATATTGTGATAAAGTATGATACACCTAGGAACGAACTAAACTGATATCTCCGCAAAACTATATACAAACATACACGCAAGTCACAATCAAAATGTTTGAAACCACTGGACGGGACTCGACACTACTTAGAGGATTTAAACA